TAACAGAACTTCCAAAAGTGCAGCCAGCCATAGTCCCTGAACCGTAACCATGCCTGACCCCCGATAACATTGGGGCAGAGAGTGGTGGGCTCTCTGCGCATAGAGCACAGTGTGTGCAATCAAGACCAGTATTACACCAGAATGCAAAAAAGGTCTCTGTGAGTGTAGCTCACTCATAAGTAAAACAAAAGGTCTCCTTTTTTTCTTTTTTTCCCTTATTTGTGACAACTTATAATATTCTTAATCAACAACTATACCTTCGGTCTTTTCTCATCATACCCCCACATGACTTTACATTACTTTTAAACAGTTTTAATCTTTTATCTTCACCTGTCTTGTCTTCATGCTAGCTCCAGTTCCATCATGGCCTTCAGATCTGCCACAGACAACGTCCCGTCTCCCTTTCTTTTCGAGCTGATGCTCCATCCGTCTGCTAGTCTTTCTTCGAGGCGCTCCCTTTCCCCGTGAGACACCTGGACACCCATCCGCTCCAAGGTGTCCGATGCCTCCATCAGCGAAGCAAAAGTTTTGTCTCCCGAGTCCATTTTAATCTTCAGGCGTGCTGGATACAGACACTTCGCCTGTACGCCCTTCTGTTTCAGCTGCTTGATAACTGCATGCACTTTTGCCCGTCTCTTTTGCAACTCGGGAGAGTAATCTTGATCGAAGAAAATCCTTTTGCCTCGAAACAAAACCTGTCCTTGTCTCCACGCTTGCTGTAAAACAGCATCTTTCACCGCTGCGTCCAGAAATCTCACGATTATTGAGCGCGGAGGCGCAGCTGGGTTCAACGGCCTGGACAGCAGCGACCGGTGCGCTCTCTCGATCCTTATGTCCACATCTGGTGGCAGCGTCAGAACTTTAGGCAGTAGATCTTTAACGAACTCACCCACGTTCCCTTCTTTGCTGCCCTCTGGAATCTGGAAAATGCGCAGGTTGTTTCTCCGTAGCCTGTTTTGTAAATCGTCACATGCGGCTGAAAGTTGTGTTTCCCGCTGAAGCAGGTACCGCAGCACCCGGTGTTGCCTCCTTTTCACCTCCTCAGTCGCTCCCACACGGTCCTCCAGCTCGTCAATCCTCCTCCCGTGGTCGTTCAGTTGTGTCTTTATTTCGGACACAGATGTCTCCAGGCGACCAAGTACTTCCTTGGTTTGCTTGTGCCCCTCAGCATTTTCCTGTCGCATCTTTTTCATCTCTTCCAGCATAGACATTTCGCCCGCTAGCTTATCCTGTTTTTGGCTAACGTTAGCACCGGGTGGGTCTGAACCCGCGCTAGTGCTGTTAGCCGGGCTTGGCGATCTTTGTTTTTTGTCGTCAAATTCCTTAGAATTCGCTTGTTTGTTTCCCAATCTGGTCTTTGAAGGGCCGCTCATCTTTGTAGTCATGTATTGAATAAATTGAATGGTATTTCTTATTAAAGTTGTCGTTATTTTTCTAACTTTTAACGGAGCCTACTGTTCAAGCTGTTGCTTCGATCATGACGTCACCGGAAGCCCCTATTTTTGTGTATATTAATCTGTCTTATTTTGAAATCTGTGCTTAGAACTGCAGGTGGTATTAATGGGTTGGTTATCGTTTTCCAGATGTCTTTTCTTGATATGCTTTGAAACATATTTCTTTCGTTAATGCTGGCTTCTTTATAATTTTATTCAATATCTTGTACATAGTTTTTATTTTCAGTTCCTTCAGCTCCTAATGTTTTGTTCCCATAATTAAAGGTAAACTCTCGTTTGGTTTTATCTCTTGTTCGGGCTTTGACCGTCGAGCATTGTCAGCCATTCTGGGGGTATTACTGTTCAAAAGCTGGGTGCAGACCCTCCTTATCCAGCTCTGGCTGAATGCTAGGTTTTTACTCAAGAGCTGCCCTCGAATTTGATCTAAATCCAATTTGCCCTCTTTATTGAGTATGTGAGCTAGTGTATCGATTCCCCCACCGCAGTAGAGCCTCGCATTTAAACGGCTTCCCTACACGATGGAATTCCGGGTTAAAGAAGAGCGGTTGAGCCAAAAGTCCCTCCAGAATGTCCACTTTTGCACTCAGGTGAGGCCTAAACTATTGCCAGGCCCCCATCACCTCAGCCCAGAAGGGGCTAAGTTGACAGAGACCCGACGCCAGCAAGGCCTGACACAAGTTTAGCCATCCATGTCTCCCACAGGAGCGCACTGACCGCTCCAGAGCCTCATGCCAAGCATGTTGGTCCGGGTAATTGAAGTATTTTGTGAACAATTTTAACCTAAATGCTAATCTTTTTGTGTTTGATCAGTGACCATAACAATGGTGGACTAAAACTGGCTGACAGAGTATTGTGTGCTACCATGACCAAGGCCTTTCATTTTTTTAGAGGTTGAAGATGTTTTTCACCTTGTCTGTGGTACCCATGTGGTTTAGTGTTCTCCCTCCACCCAGTCTTTCACTTTTGCCCCAACCCATTTTCCTTTACATTTGACCTTTTTCTTTTGGCAAGGGCTTTGGGGCCTGGGCCCTGGGGTCCGGATGCGGCCTCTCTGCATTTATTTATTTATTATTATTAAAGCTGTTCTACCAGAGCCAGTTCTAAATATATTTTCAGCCGGGACGTCCTGTTGCGAGAGTGCCACATTTAAATCTCCCAAAAGAAGAGTATTATTGTTTATGAATCTAATTAATTTCTCCAAATATTTTCTTCTTTCTGATTCGATATTGGGTGCATAGCAGTTCATTATTTTGACTTCTTTATTATTATAATTCATATCTAAAACTAATAATCTACCAATGTTGTCATTATGTATTTCTCTAATATTATTAATTGAATAATCTTCTTTCACTAGTATTCCAACTCCACAGTTCAATCCATTATTAGAGTACAATTTTCCTTTCCAAAGTTTTGTATTTTTTCTATCGAATTCTCATTCCACTTTGTTTCCTGTAAGCATACTACCAAAAGTATTTATTATTTTTTTTTCAATTTCTCCACAAACTTGCTATTTATTAGGCGACATATGGTCCTGCATTTTATGAAGATGTACAATCTGGTCCTAGGTCATTTTCTTTGCCTTCGTTTTCCTTTAGTTTTTTTGATTGATTTTCCCCTGACTCATTCTTTTCCTCATTTGTATGAGCTGACATTCCATTTCCGAATCCGAGCTGAGAGGGTTCATGGCCGCATTGTCCTCCGACGATCGGCTGCCCTTTTCACCCGATCCCCTTGCCTGGTGAGGACCCGTCAGGCCGCCGCCCATATGCGGTGGCAAGGACGGAACACTGCGTGGGCCGAGGGGACGGTTACTTCGGGTTCGTGGTCTAGGAACAGAAGAGGGTCATAGCCAAAAGCGCATTTAAACGGGCTGAAACCTGTCGCGGACGTGGGAATGGTATTATGGGCATACTCCACCCAGACCAGGTGTTTGCTCCATGTAGCCGGGTTCTGGGAAACTAGGCAGCGGAGGCCGGTCTCAAATTGCTGGTTCAGCCACTCTGTCTTCCCGTTGGCCACAGGGTGGTATCCCGACGTTGGACTGGCTTTGGCCCCGATGAGCGCGCAGAATTCTTTCCAGATCCTGGAAATAAACTGGGGTCCCCGGTCCGACACAATGTCATTCGGGAACCCATGAATTCAGAATACTTGGGTCATCATGATTTCGGCTGTCTCCTTGGCAGAGAGGTGGCGCCACCAATAGGTGGCGGGGCTAAACCTTTGGCTCGCTTAATGGCATTTTCTATATGCTGAGTGACCGCTACAACCACACAGGACCATGGAAGGATGGGTTCGGGCTCCTTGCCAACAGGCTTGGGGTCATATAACCGGGACAGCACATTGGGCTTGACATTCTTTGACCCCGGCCTGTAAGAAATAGAGAACGAGAAATGGATAAAAAAGAGCGTCCACCTAGCCTGGCGAGAATTTAATCTTTTTGTCTGTCTGATGTATTTGAGGTTCTTATGGTCGGTCCAAACCACAAAGGGTTGGCTAGTCCCCTCGAACCAGTGGCGCCACTCATTCAATGCCACCTTCACTGCCAGAAGTTCTTTATTGCCCACGTCGTAATTCTTCTCCACTGCGGACAGGCGTTGTGAGAGAAAGGCGCACGGATGCATCTTCCTGTCCTTAGGGGACCTCTGGGACAGGATGGCTCCTACCCCGTCGATGGAGGCGTCCACTGTCGTGGATGTCCTCCTGACGACGTAGTGAATTGTGCTAAGTCTTTCAAAAATTTGTGGAAAAGCAGTTGAAAAATCTCCAACAGTGGTCAAAAAGAATCAGAGGCAGCTGGGTCTCGGTCCAGTATGGTTTATTGCAGCAATACAAGTCCACCACACATGAGATGTTAACCAGGCTAACATCTGCCCTATTGAGAAAGTGGTCTGCTTATATACAATCCCTCGGGACTCGGAGACTCCTCCCCGAGCCCCTCCTATTATGATGTAATTTAAGGCCCTCTCTGTTATCTTTTTTCGTACCGGTGGAAATTTGTCTAGAGTGCGTATTTTTTTTAAATGGGCGTCTTAGCCCCACCTTCCTGTTTACACGTCATTGCTTATTCTGGCCAATGTCATGGTTTCTAAGATGATACACGCCCCCTAACTTTCTTTCATTGGTAACTGCTCGTGTAGGGTGATACACGTTCTGTTTGCCTTTTGCCCCTTAAGGTATGGTACATGTTTACGTGGCTGTTCCTTGTACCTACAGATATGCATTGACCTTTAGACATTGTATATGCTTACACAACTGTTTTCTTGCACCTACAGGCACTTAAGTAAGGTTTAACCTCTGGACCAAGTTCTTCCACATCACACATTATTTTCTTATACAACCTCATCTTGATATATGTTTAAGGCACACCATTAACCATTGTGATAAGAATATATTCATTGTGACATATTAATCCACTACACCACTTCCACCACGCACAGTACTCGTACTGTCACATAGGTTATAGGTATACATATTCACATTTATCATTTATAACCAGCATAGTTGTTGAGGTTAGTTGTAATGCGGGGCTTGGGCGTTAGGAAACACCACCCCCCTTGGCGGTTGGCTTCCCATTCCTCCTGTAGTAGTCTCTGGAGCACGTCGTCCAGGCAACTGATGCTGTGCCAGTGTGGCGGTGGCCCGGCGCCATTGCAATACTTGACGTCGTGCTATATCACGTTCCGTTGTCACCTGCAGCACTCTTCCTTCTAAGGTGGTTATAGTCTGTTGTGCACCTTGAAGTTGCCGTGACAGTTTGGCGGGCTGTCAATCAGCTTTCCTCTGGGTGATGGGTGGTCAGCAGGCTGTCCTCTGGCCATTGGGAGGTCAGTGGGCTGTCCTTTTGGCCATTGGCAGGTCAGTGGGCTGCCCCCTGGGGATCATCAGGAATCTGCTCCACCCTGGCGGTGCCTGGCCCCTCCTCTGGATCGTCAGGCTGCCTATTGGGAATACTGGTGCCTGTGGCTATATATAATTGTGTGCCTAGCGACGCATGTGCGGTGTTTCCTCCTCTATTCGTGTGTTCCTGCCACTCCTCCGTGGGTATGTGGTGTACATTAAAGTAAACCTCCGTCATTCTCAACAGTCTGCATTTGGAGACATAACATGGTATAATAATATATATTATTATTAGGCTTATATTTTCCTAGGAGAATCTATAAAAACTTATGCTTTGGCATGCAAATTAATACATATATATATATATATATATATATATATATATATATATATATATATAACTGATTATTAAAAATGCACGTACCTGGTGGGGGTGAGAGGTGATCATGGTGTTGATTTATATGGTTTGGTCTACCTGTATTTCTGTTATTGGGAACTGACCAGTAATACTTGCGATGAGTTTTGAGACCATTCCCCGAATGAGGGGTATGACGCAACAGATGACTATTGATATTATCAATATTATTGCTCCTAGTATCATCCCTGCAGCTTGGAGATATCTTGACCACCCAAGCTTATTGAACCAATCCCAAAACCCCTTCAGCTGGGTATTCCAATTGGATCTCTCCACATGTTCATCTCTCATGTGCTTCGTTTCTTGAAGGACTCCTGTTAAGTGGCCGTTAACGTCTGTATGCATAGGAATGAATGTACAACAGTCATTGCCGATTAAATCACACAGCCCCTGATCTCCTGCCATGCGGGATTCCAGCACAAATCTATGCTGTAGAACCATTAGTGATGTGGCATGATATTGTTCTTTTACGAGGTCCATGCCCTATATTGTAAAATGTATAAACCTTTGCTGATTGAACCATAGGAGATTTATCCATCTACTGTTTCGGGCTATATACTGTGCATTACTAACTGATCCCCATACTGACATTGTGCCTACCAGTCTTCCACTTTCTATCCATGCACTCCCCATGGCTGCATGTTCATCAGGCACCCCTAGTGGAATCTGATCCCAGGTAATATTTACTTCGTCTGACTTCTTCCAATTCCACTCATGGTTATTTTTGGGTGTACTTCTTTTGTTGCGATTGCTTATGTCATTAGCCGTTTCGTTGGTAATCATTTGGTTATTTATTATTAACCTTAGTTTTCCCGTCAGCATTACTGGAGCACAGATCCCTTCCCACTGAGGAGGTAAAGAGGCTAGCATTTTTTCCTCAGTATGACACATCCAGAAGATATCTCCTAAAGGGAAAGATCCCTGCGCAAAACTCATTAATCGGTATTGAGCTGCATATGTAGATTGTAATTCATAGATGACTGCACCTCCGTCTGGTACTACTTGTTTACATTGTATATTGGCTTTGAGGCTGGTTTCACATAGCTTGATATGGCTGATGTTTCCGCCAGCTGTTGGTGGGTACCCTGGTATTACACTACATTTCACCGTTTTGTCTGCAGTCCACATCCTGCTAGAGGTTCTTTTGGTCACCTCTTCTAATTCTTTCCCTCGTGCTATGCAAAATGGGAAGATTATTTCAGCTGGCTTTTGTACTACTGGAGGTAGGGGGCTCAGGACCTCATTTAGTGAGGAGGTTAGTGCTTTAGGGCATATTTTCCTATCCTCTGTCCATGGTGTTAAGCCTGCGGCCATATGCATGGCACAGTGAGCGAAGCACTTCGCTATTTCTGGGCAGTCACCTATTTTACTTCCTGGTAGAATCCGAATAATTTCGCAATTGTAGCAGGCTATGCAATCATCTTAAGGGCGATTTTTAGCTTCAAACATTGTCTGAATAGAGAATTGTATCCATTGTTGGAACATATTTGTCTCCCATTGCAACGTTTTTAATTTACTTAGGTCCCTTTTCTGTCTTTTGTTCATTAGTCTTACTACCTTACGAGCTCTCTCTATCGTCATTGTTTGTTTTGTTTGTATGTTTTGGCATATGTTTGTCTTGCATCTTACCTTGATGATCACCATCCCATCTCCACGGCAGTCCATGCTTCGTGGAATTCCAAGCCACAGTTTTCCCATTGACTAGTTTTCTAACATTTCTTCAGACAGTACATAATCATATCATTTGGTTTGCACATGCATTAATGATTTGTTCTCTCCGTCGTTATTACTGATTATCCCCTGGTTAGTAGCTAGTGTAATCATTGCTAGTGCACATGTTTCTGTTTGACGCTGTAAATTTGAGTGTGCATTGTTAGTGGTAAGCTTAAGAATGTCCCCCCTTGTTAACCCAAAAAGGGTTAACAAAAACAGGAAGCTACTCAGAGTTGGAAGAAGATGATAGCGGTGGAAACCAAAACGACGGCAAGGGAGTGGGCGGGGGAGGGGAAAGGGAGGAAGGGGGTGGGGAAGGAGAGTGGTGGGGAGAAGGGGCCATAACTCCATCAGCGTCTTGTGCAGGAGGAAAAAGACGTTCCTCTGGCGTTTCCGACATGGGTGAGTTTGAATTAGGCCGGTCAGGACTCTGAATGGCAGGAGAATCGTCAATAAGGCTGCCAGGGTCAGGAGTCGGATCGGAAGCAAAAGAATGAGCACGACTATCCTCAGTCTCCTGACATTGGAGACCGTCGGGCAGCCAAACGGGCTGAACGTCTTTGGCCTTCAGACGAGGACAAGGGTGAGTCGACATCAGTGCCTGCCTCGGGTACAACATCAGCCATCTGTGAATGTGAGGTGGTGGCATTCGGAGGGAGACTTGTTGCTGCCCTGTCAGCATGCGCAGAGCCCGTCGGTCCTGGATCAAGTACAGGTGGGTCTGGTGGACGGTGACGAGGGCAGTGGTTTTTGTGGAACCAGAAGGGCTTACTTTCAACTTTTAGGGCAGTGGGAGTGGTAAGAACAACTTTAAAGGGACCTTCCCTACGAGGTTCGTTTCACTGACGTCTAAACACTCTGTCACCGACTTGGACGTCTCTGACGTCCACTGGAATACGTGTCTCGTCTCGGTTGTGAGCTGCTTTCACCTGTTGAAATATAAGCCTGTGAATGTGGGTTAGTGACCTGCGGTAGTCCCCCAGCTCACGTTCGAGTTGCGTCAGGGAAATCTTCTCCTGGGGTCCGTGGACCTGTGGGAGAGGCATGGGTCGTCCTGTAAGCATTTCATGGGGAGTGAGATGGGTTAGTCGGTTAGTTTGTGAACGCATAGCCATCAGTGCGATTGGCACTGCATCTCAACCCATGACAAACGACCATTGCTATCAGCAATGATTTTTGCGATTTTGGTTTTGAGGACGCCGTTAACTCTTTCCACAGATGCCTGCGATTGTGGATGATACACACAACCAAACTTTTGTTTTATACACAACATTTTGAACATTTTCTGGATAACCTGTGAAACAAAGTGCGGCCCGTTATCAGATTATATGGTATCAGGCATGCCGAACCTGGGAAACACTTCTTTACATAAAAACCGAGGTGCAGATTTGTGATCGGCCTTAGCAGTGGGGCAGGCTTCCACCCATCTGCTAAACCGACAAACAACAACAAGCATGTGTCTCTTTCCCTGTACAAGATCTATCATATCAACGTAATCCATGATCAAATGACGGAACGGGCCGTCTGGCATTGGGATATGTACCAAGGGTTGCGTGAACATTTTTCGCACATTGTACTTGGGGCAGTGTGGGCATATGGCTAGTTCTGTCAACCATAGGTGTCATATAAGGTGACCACCATACTGCCTGCAGCTTTCGAATGACTTGGGCTCGCGAAAAATGATCCAGTTCATGCATTATTTTGATGGCCGTTGGCAATTCAATTCAATTCAATTTTATTTATATAGCGCCACATCACAACAACAGTCGTCTCACAGCGCTTTCCAAACAGAGCAGGTCAGACCCTACTCTGAAGTTAACTACAGAAACCCAACAATTCCCACCCTGAGCAAGCACTAGGCGACACGGGCAAGGAAAAACTTCCTTTTAGCAGGCAGAAACCTTGAGCAGAACCATGGCTCAGGGTGGGCGGCCATCTGCCTCGGCCGGTTGGGGGTGAGGGGAAAGAGAGAGCAAGAGAGAGAGAGAGGGCGAGAGAAGGACAGAGGGAGCAGAGAGAGGCAGCCAACACAGCAACACGTAGAATAGATTAAAAATGGCAATGATATTAATGCTAATGATGAGCAGGAACACGGGGGCAGCAGGAAACTCCCAACCACAGATCCAGACTCCACAGCTCTAGGAACACCTGCAGGAAGTGATAGGAGGAGACTCCCAACCACAGATCCAGACCCCACAGCTCCAGAGCCAGGAATATCTGCAGAAAGTGTTAGGAAGAGAGAGGAGAGAGAAGGGGGGGACGAGAAAGCACACGACTACGGGGAAGGGAGAGAGTCCAGTTAGTAACATTGTTAATGGAATGAGGTTGCACCGGGAGGGAGAGAGAGAAAGGAAAGGGCAGCTCGGTGCATCATGATGCATCCCCCGGCAGTCTAGGCCTATAGCAGCACAACCAGGGGTGGACTTACTCTAACTATAAGCTCTATCATAAAGGAAAGTGTTAAGCCTACTCTTAAATAAGGACAATGGTAATACGAAATGCCCTCTAAAACTTCGCCACAACCCTGCGTGGGGGTGTGATGTGCGTACTGCCCCCCGTTGTACCCACAATCGTTTTTCTGCTTCAGAGACTTTGTCCTGCGCCTCAATTAATGAGGCCAGATTAGTGATGGGTTCGCAATCAGCTGCGAGAACCATTGGTCCTTGCACAGCAGGTCCTGTGGC